ATATTTTCTTTTATGCAATTCATTACGAACGACCGATGTCCTGCATTCATCGACCTATTGATCTTCATTTGTGACCTGCAATCTTCAGATGTCATCGAGTGGCTGTGCTTTTCCTCAAAGGTTTTAACGACGTATCCATTCAATCCATCATATCGAATCCCAATCTTGGCAGCACATCCTACCCGGTTGGACACCCTACGTCTTGTCACGTGTCCTTTAGCATGTACTGTTGGACTGATGACTGCATGATGCTTGTGACCCTCTCGCGAGCACACAATGTACTTCCAAATAACTGTCTTGTCACGTGCTTTCACCAATGTGCTATGTCTCACGTCAAACCCAACAGCCATAGCATAAGCATTGTAGAAGTTCACCGCTTCACGTAATTCCTGGAATCTTTGTCCTTTATATGGTTTAATCGATTCGTCACATTGTGGTATCCAATGTTTCGTTCCACCCGGTGTGATTAAGAGTTGTTGTTGTGTAACCGGCGGTTGCATTCCTTAAGTGCCATTGCAATGGGGAAAAAAATAAAAAACAGAAAAAAAAATAATATTAGTAGTAATAAATGAGCTCATCGATTGCACCGGTGAGATCAGACGATTGCACGCAATACAATCGACAGTTGTACTTTATCACAGTAAAGATAAAATTGACCTCAATACCTTGTTGTGAGTCATTTAATTCCATTGTTTATGCTGTTCAACAAAGAAAGCGTATGATATCCCTAAATTCACATGAAAAATCAAAGTATATCAGATCAATTATCCACGTATTACCTATGAATATTACATATGTTGACATGTCAATAATTAAATCGAGAACACTTGATTTTATACAACAATTGACCAAAATCGGAAGTTTAATTGGAAGATATACCTGCGGCCGCCGAGGACGTAGTATGATGGATCAATCTAAAGTTTCGAACTCACGAACGGGTAATTGGTACGGAAATCTCATTGGTTATGGTAAAATGTGCTCGAAATAGTGAAGATCAGTCGCAAAATTTCAAGCGATCATAATTTTTCCATTGATTTCGTGTTAATCGATCTCGAGAGATACACAGCTGCGAGATTTGAGGTACGAGCTTTTGGGCATGTATGGAGTAGCTAAGGGTTTCCAGTCTTCAATGAATGCTCGGTCTCTGTATGTGCGTTGATAGGTAATTTACATTAGTACCCTCCAATGGTCTCTGTATGTGCGTGAATTTTAGTTCCAGCGAATTGATTATGTCCATCAGATTGAATTGATCCAATGTTCACAATTTATTCTCATTTCTTTCATGGGGAACCATTCTCACTGGAACCCAACCCTATATATATATATATATATGTATATGTATATATGAAGGTGTATATTCTGGGTATTTAGAAAGAATGAGTACGTTTGAATTCCAAATTCTAATTCTTTCCTTTTGATATGAACAACATCCTAATAAGTAGGGTATACAAAATTACTATATATATATATATATTTTTTTTAATGCAAAATCCTTTACTCGTGCAAATTAAGGGACAGTTAGTATCAATTATTTGGTAAATGATACTTTTTTTTTTTTAACAAATAAATGTAACTAGTACAATACTCATGTACTACACGGGTACTTATTAAGAAAATTATTTTTAAAATCTATATATATATAATTACTAGCTCATGAGCATTTAAGAAAACCTATTAAATTATACCTATGTGGCAATTTTAACATTTTCCCTCCAAAACCGTTACTTTTGATTATTTAACCTTTCTTTTAATTAATAAATAATCAACACATTAATCAATTGAAAATTACAAAATTATTTTAAACTTTGATTAATGACAGTTGACCATATAATGTGTTGATCGTATAATGTGATTAGATGTTATTATTGTGGTTACATGAATTAATATTTTTGAAGATAAAAATGTATCTGAAATTCCTAAATAAATAAAAAATAATTTACAAAAAAAAAGTTACGTACCAAAATATACATTACATCCAATCTAATACACGCAATTAAAAAAAAAAATATTCTAACTCATTTAATTATAAATTTGGCCTGCAAAAAAGTGAAAGAAAAATCATTAATCATTAAAGGCATAAGCATTTTTATATTTGTATTTGGCCATACAAATAACTCGCAATACTTTATTTATATTTGTGCAAATGCACAGGTCGAATACTAGTTATATAATAATTACAAAATTTGTTTTGATTTTAAATACTTTTTTGAAAAATATATTATTAGTTATATTGAAATTGATATCGTCACTTACACGACTTACCATCTTATATTATAATTTTTTTAATTTATATAAGATAGCTGCGTTGTAGTTAAGTTAGTCTAAATAATTATATACTCGCCTTCTCTGTACCCAAAAAAAAAAAAAATTATATACTCTATTTTATTAATTAAATTTATGCTATTAAAGAATGATATAAAATCACCTATATATAATTCCCGAATGCGCTGAACCTACGTGGCTGCTTATGGTGCTTCATAATCCTACTTGGCAAAGAATCATGCTTCGTAATTAGGTTTGGACAAATAATATTGATATATTAATAATTAATAATCTAGGTTCGGACATTCTATAAATAATATTTAGCTAACTTAGGTATTTTAATATCACTTGTACTAATATAACTCTTTAATTTGTTGTAATTATACATAGTGAGGCACTAAGTGACTAATATATCCCTGACTTTTGATTTGTTTTCTTCAATTAGCTATTGAATTGTAAATTTATTTTAAAAGTTGATAACTATTTTTATTTCTTATCGGTTTTACATATATAATATATGAAATTAATCATCTTTTGATGATCTTCAATTTGACATCCATATTGTATATATGAAATAAATAAATTATATATATTTTTATAATAATAAAAAATAATAATATTTATTAAAATTAATTAAAACATAAAATTAGTTCAATTGATATATTTATGCTAAATTTAGTTATATTCATAAGTTAAAAAAGCTATTATAATATAACACAGGTAAATCGCACAAATAAAAAATGTAATACTAAATATATAATAATATATATATATTTATAAAAGGTATTTAAATTTTTAATTACTTTTTCTTATTATTTTAGAATTTAAGAAAAAAATTAGAAAACACCCGTATAATACACGGACCGTTATACTAGTTTATTTTGTATGATATAAAATATGGAAAAGTAACAAATGTATGAATTAGTTAAAAACTCATTTAAAACTAAAGAATACCAACTTTACAGAATTGTCTTAGGATATACTTCCATACAAATATGATAGAATTAATACACAAATTATAGGATGCAATAAATTTATGGTAATGAAAGAGAATATTAATAGGAGAAAAAATTTAAGATGAAATCATTATTTATGGTTCATGCCAAACCAATTATGAATCCAATGTTTTTTATCCAAACCTAAATACTAATCATACTAATTTGACACGTATGATTCCAAAAGCGTGCGAGCCTGCCACTTAGGCTCCGCACGTTTTGAGTTAATATATAGGAGAATTCAATTGGTAATGATGCAAATAAAATCTGACCTCGCACAAATGCAATTAATTTAAAATCATGTGGTAACCATAAAATTTCCCCAATAATTTTCTCCTACATATTCCCTACATCATGGGCTTATGGGCCTCTCTAATTCTATTTTTGGGCTATGGTAATCTTACCCGGCCTTATGTATACATGTTAAGCCGTTTGGCCTTCCCCAAGAGAGGATCCATATAAAATAACAACTTGGAACCTCAAGTATTATGGGACAATTTTATGCATGAGTTTCTTTTCTATGCTATTTTACTTGGCTTATAAAACCTTATACAAGTATTCTGTATCAGTATTGCTTTGTGTTGTATCCATGTAAGATTCAGATTAATAATCAGATTTTTACCTTCGAGTATTTAATTTATTCCACTAGCCCCTCGTACAAGTGGTTGAACTTGAAGTACAATTCAACTTTGTGCAATCTAAGGCACCATAAGAATACGTATGCTAGAAGAAAAATTAAGGATTCAAGAATAAAGAGTGTTGCATGGCCGGTAGACATGGCCACGGGTCACCCGGCCCGCCGACCAACCCGGCCTGGTCAAACCTGTTGACCACAGGCCTGGGCCCGGCACGAATTTCAAACGGGCCGGTCAAGGGTCATTTTTTTTACCTTGACCCGCCGGGCCGGGTCCGTGTCGGCACGGAAAAAAAAAACATTGCTTTTGAATTTTTTTTTTAAAAAAAAAATTTATGTGGCCGAGTCCAAACTCGGGCCCGGCCCGGCGGGTCATGGACCCGGCACGATCCTAGGTCCGTGCCGGTTCAGGGTCGTCAAAACCCAACCCGGTGGGTCGAGCCGGGTCGTGGCCCGGCCCAGTTTTTGGCCATGTCTAATGGCCGATTGCAACCCGGCCCACTAAACCGGCCCGAAACCGGTCCCAGACCTGCCTGGATTTCGCCGGTTCATTGAACTGGAACCTTGGCCATGCGGGTCAGTTCCGATTCTTCATTTTTCTTTTTTGGTCCCAGCACGGACCGCGGGTTGGAAGGCGGATCATGGTTCATTTTATTTTTTATATTTTTCTTTTTTAGAACCACCGTGTCCGCCGGTTCTGCCCACCTCTACTTGCAGACTTTCTCAATGCAGTCGCTACTTGACACTTTCCAATTTTGTTATGCACCCTCACAAGTCACAACACTGAGTTTCTATAAATAATTAAACATATAAATAAATAATTTAAGATTTATTTCTAATAAGATCACATGTCAAAAGCAGGTGAATCCAAGGATCAAACTGCTCTTTCTTAAAAACAGGGAACTTAAAAAGGAAACTGCACATACCATCTAACAAGTAACAACTACACAACACCATCACATTAAACTGAGATTACCGAGAGAAGGGCCCCGTACTATTCACTATATTGCGGTGCACACTTTTCCAGTGAACTGCATCAGCAATGTTATCTGTTTTCGATCGGCAATCATTGACGAACCCAAATTCAGCTAGTCGGATTCAATCTCAAATCATAAGTCGTCAAAGATGGTGGAGAGTACTAATCCCTGTACACATTCGCACCTCCTTCTCGTTTCATTATTCGAGTCTGTTGATGGTGTTGGTTGTATTCTGCAAACATCACATGAATAAATCAGGTTTGCTATATCTGATAAAACATATCAAAAGCTAACAATTTCACACAACAAGTGAAATCCACAAGGTCCATCCAAATATTTACAGCTCTGGAAGAAAAGTAACAGCTTTGTTCAAACAATCACTTAACATATTCACCACACATGTAGCATATGCACTGGTAACTTACCTTGCACAAGAGATTTTGCGAGCATGAATATTATAGGAGAATTACATGATATATTCTCTAACCGGGAAAACGAAAAGTACGGCTTACAAATTTAGTGAAAGCCAAATCACTTACATGATGATGGACAAAATCCTATTAAGTAGAGCGAGTCCACTCAAAAGGAGACAATATTTTTTTCTATACCTCTCTATCAAGTCCTCATTGCTGCTTTCAGCAGATAAGCTTTCTTGATTCGAAAAAGGAGCTTCATTGGCCTGAGGTCTTTGAGCATGATTCGGGCTATTGATGAACGACATAAGCTTGGAATCTGACGGCACATTAGGCGAAGAAGAATCAACAGAATGAGGCTCATTGATTCTACGCAAGTGTTTTGCCTGTAAATCTTTTCTCAAAACTAATAGTGCCGTACGAGAACGAGCGCTACTATTCTTCTTGTTGCAGAGAGAGTATGCTCGAGTTAAGTTGAACACAAAATGCAATCACTGATCTAAAACCATATTTTACCAAAAAAAAACTTGATAGATAACAATAAAAAATGCGCAATAGAAAGATAATCCGCATTTCATAAATATTTGAAGGATATTTTTAGAACACTCTCATGCTGTGTGATTACATGAGAAGCCATGTTTATGCGCACTTTTGTGGAGCAAATGGGGCAAATCTGCAACGACAAAGAAGTTCAATTTAGTACTACTTTTCACCACAAATATTGAAAGAACAATCTCTTAACAGTTGGCAAGCTAATGAAACTATACCAAGGACATGAACAGAAACTATGGCTATATGACTATGTTTGGTAAACCTAAGATAAGCTAGTTGATAGCTTATAAGTGAATTTCGAGTTTTTAGCTGATAGCTTATGACCTTTATTTTACTATATTTTTTAAAGGAAGATAAACAGTGTTCCCACTTCCCCTCCTCGGTGACTCAAACCCATGACCCATATAGGTGAAGCGCTGCGCTTCACTTCGTGTCTGATAGCTTATGACTTATAGCTGAAAACTAGCTTATATGATAAAAGTGTTTTGATCAAAGTATGGAAACAGCCTCCTTGTATAAATACAAGGGTAAGGTCTGCGTACAACTGACCCCCAGACCCCAACCTGTTGGGAATATACTGGGTATGTTGATGTTGATGTTGATGATGATGTTTGTTAAAGTTGACTGATAAGAAAACTTCAATGGGCTTATTTAAAAAGCTACCGAAGGAAGCTTATGAAATAAGCTCGAGCTTTTTAAAAAATCACCGTCATACCAAACCAAGCTTATTTGAATACATAAAGCTTATAAGCCAACCAAATAAGCTATAAACTATCATTATCTTATCAAATGCTTACCAAACACACTCTATATCGAATCCAAAAGTAAGCCAAAATAACAACTCTTTTGTTTTATTCTGCAACATGTAACTAACTTGTCTGTCACCTCATATAACAATTTCCTAGCCTCCTACTAATCAAAAGAAGAACTCTGTCCTACCCAAACACCAAAATTGATTCAGCTACAAACCTTATTTATATCAACAAACAGAAAAGCCCATTTTTTCTAGACAACTTAACCCAAGACCAATCATTTGTCATAGGTTTGAAGAACCTCACAAACCTTACAAGTAATGATTCCTTAAATTGTTCCCTTCAAAATAAAATCTCAATAAAACTTAGATGTTTACCCCAGGTTTAACCTCCATACGATGATCGGCGTCGATGTGGCAGCACAGCCCGAGAACATCGAAGTCCTCGGGGCAAAAGGGGCACGCCAAATCCGAATTTTCTTGTCTCCGAGCATCAGCCTCGTAATCATCGTCCGTGTCCTCGTCCTCATCGTCATAATCATCTACTTAAACGATATCACAGAATCACAACAAAATAAAAACACGCAATCTACAGAAAAATTGGAGCAAGATAAACAAAAAATTTCACATATTTAAACATCCATACGCAGATTCTCCTCGGAATAAGAAGAGAGCACAATTCCCAAATCGTCGTGAAGAAGGTCGCCCATTTTTAATGGAACTACTGCACACAAAGATAATTAAACCCAGAAATTGCGGAGAAGAAAAAGGAACAAAAATAAATGAAATAAAAGACGCGGAAAAGGAATTAAAATACAAAATTACAAGATTGTGGGTAAAGTAGGGTTTTTGGGATAGGGCTTTCTTTCTTCTCCACCTTCCCCGTGGTTGGGTAGTATGTGCAGAGAGAAGGTGAGAGAGATAAATCACTTTATTATTATTATATTTATAGACGTAAAATTCTAAAAGGGTATCCGGGTCGGTTTCGGACTCTTATGGTGCACGAGTCCTACACCCAAATACTTGCACTTCGGGTGTTCACGGTTCAGATCGGTCTGGTTTTAGTTCAAACCATGACCAAATTGGACATAACGGTTAATTTTTTTATCGGATTGACTTTATTTTTTAACCGGCCACAATCTGAACGATATTGGACGGTCTGGTTTGGCGATTATCTGGTTAAATCTAAAATCCTTGTTTTGGACCTTCAATTTTGATTTTTTTCAGTTTGGGCTTAATTTTTATTTTTTAATTTTAGGCCCAAAAGAGAATATTTGGGTCTAAAAATTAAGAAAAACAATAATAATGAAATAAAAAATAGACAATTCGTCTCATAAGCATAAAAATACACATTTTATCCTATAAACATAAAAATAAAAAATGATGAACATAAAAATACTAAAAAGTGAAAGTGAATGTATTGTATTTGTCTCTCATAGTGAATGACTGAATGTATATATATTTGTTGTAGTTTTTTAACATTTACCGGTCCGGTCCGGTTAACCAGCGGTTTGCCGCAGGTAATCCATTAATCGGACTGGTTATTCCGGATTTTTAGAAAAATTAACTACGAGATTTTTAAGGCTTTTATTAACCGATCCGCAGTACAAAATGGTGGTTTTTTTTCAGTTAAAACCGGATTGTGAACACCCCTACCTTCACTCTCTTCACGACGGTTTTTTTCAGTTAAAACCGGATTGTGAACACCCCTACGGCCTACCTTCACTCTCTTTTAGTTGTTACCTTCTTTTTCTTCATTTAAATTAAATGGGTGGTGATAATATTTTCATACTTTATATGTTAATTAATGTCTTTATAATATGTTTATTAATAAGTTATTGATATTATAAATGGGTGGTGATAATGTTTTCATGGTTACTCAAATTGAATCACAAAAAATTGTTTAACAACATATAACAGTAATTGCAATAATTTATCTTAGGTTAAATATATGATTTTTTTATATTTGTTTGAATTAATAAAATAAGAATGTGATTTATTTTTAATAAAAATTTTTCATTAAAATTATTTTGTTTTCCTATACTCATACAGAAAGTTGGTATTTATGGATATACATTTCTATATTTACAAATGAATTGTTAAAATCAAATCAATTAGTAAATAAATCAATGAGATCTATCTATAATTCTATATATCTATCATTACATAAAAAGAAGAACCTTCTATGATTTTCCACCAAAATTTACCGTCAAAATCATTTAATGAATAAATGTGACGCTAGTTTTTTTTATGGTTCCATTTTTCCTATTTTATAGGTTAACAAAATAACGGTTAATTTTTTTATCGGATTGACTTTATTTTTTAATTGGCCACAATCTGAACGATATTGGACGATCTAGTTTGGCGGTTAACTGGTTAAATCCAAAATCCTTGTATTGGGCCTTCAATTTTATTTTTTTTTTCATTTTGGACTTAATTTTTATTTTTCAATTTTAGGCGCAAAAGAGATTATTTGGGTCTAAAAATTAAGAAAAACAATAATAATGGAATAAAAAATAGACAATTCGTCTCATAAGCATAAAAATACACATTTTATCCTATAAACATAAAAATACAAAAATGATGAACATAAAAATACTAAAAAGTGAAAGTGAATGTATTGTATTTGTCGCTCATAGTGAATGACTGAATGTATATATATTTGTTGTAATTTTTTAATATTTACCGGTCCGGTCCGGTTAACCAACGGTTTACCGCAGGTAATCCGTTAATCGGACTGGTTATTCCGGATTTTTAGAAAAATTAACTACCGGATTTTTAAGGTTTTTTTAACCGACCATTTAACCGATGCACGATACGAAATGGCGGTTTTTTTCAGTTAAACCCGGATTGTGAACACCCCTACCTTCACTCTCTTCACTTGTTAGTTGTTACCTTCTTTTTCTTCATTTAAATTAAATGGGTGGTGATAATTTTTTCATACTTTATATGTTAATTAATGTCTTTATATTATGTTTATTAATAAGTTATTGATATTATAAATGGGTGGTGATAATGCTTTCATGGTTACTCAAACTAGTATTTGATCATGTGCATTTGCACATATATAAAACACGTTTTTTTGTTTATATTTATTAATTAGATATGTACTTCTATCATATAAAAATTATTATTTTTTCTTAAGTTATTTTTATCATTCAAATTTGATTGAGATTTAAATTTTATTTTAGCCATGCAACGTTTAAAATAATTTATATATTTGTGGCATATATTATGAAAATTAACATAAATAAAAAAATATGTGTCAATCATATTTTTCTTCTAACAATGCAACTAAATATAGTGGTTACATCTTTGAATGTGTCAATCAACTTTAAGTTCCATACATTAGCCGTTACATATTTGAATATTTTGCTACAAAATTTAAAATTAATTTAGTAACTGATCCAAAAAATAAATAATATATATATATATATTAAAGTGTAACAGTTTTAGCAGATTAGTAAGTAATTAATTAAAAATACGTAACTCCTTTTGGAGGGAAATGAAAATAGATTTTATTAAATGTTTATTAAATGCATCAGCTAGTAATTATATATATATAGATTGAATCACAAAAAATTGTTTAACAACATATAACAGTAATTGCAATAATTTATCTTAGGTTAAATATATGATATTTTTATATTTGTTTAAATTAATAAAATAATAATGTGATTTATTTTTAATAAAATTTTTTCATTAAAATTATTTTGTTTTTCTATACTCATAAAGAAAGTTGGTATTTATGGATATACATTTCTATATTTACAAATGAATTGTTAAAATCAAATCAATTAGTAAATAAATCAATGAGATCTATCTATATATCTATCTATCATTACATAAAAAGAATAACCTTTTATGATTTTCCACCAAAATTTACCGCCAAAATCATTTAATGAATAAATGCGACGCTAGTTTTTTTTATGGTTCCATTTTTCCTATTTTATAGGTTAACAAAATAACAGTTTGTGTTGATATTATATAAAAATCTATCATTACAAAATCATATTAAGAAATAATTGATAGCTTATAAAATCTCATAGCATAAATCTACACCTGTTTATCTCTTATTTGTTACAAAATCTCATTGCATACGTCTCACGAGTTTAAAAAAAATTTCATCACTTATCTATCAGATTTAAATAAAAATAAAATAAAGTAGAAACCAATTCATAGTTAATTTAGAAATCAATTATCTTTAAAAAGAAAAAATAAAATAAAATATAAACCAATTCAAAATTACTATTAGAAATTCATTATCTACTCTAAAAAGCTAATTTTCATCGTTCTAATTACTAATATTTTTACAAATATTATAAGCTTACAATACATCCTCGATAACAACGTAAAGAGTATAATAATTATTTTGAAATTTTGTGTAATCAAATTTTTTTAGATAGAAGTAGCGCCATAAAATCGGTATCATCTGACCTAATGTGTTTATTAAATTAGGCTTATAATATCTTAGATACTTTAAACAAATTGTTTAGATATTTTTTTACATATTCGTCTATATATACATATATATATACATATACACATATACATAACTGATATTAAATTTAAATATTTGTAGATATGTTTTCCTTACAAAATAATCTAAAAAAATCTTTTTTACACAATGTTAAATTCAAATGTTTTTAGATATGTTTTCCTTATAAAATTGTTTAGAAAAGTTGTAAGTGACTTCATATCTTTCAAAAATAATATAGAAAATTAGAATATTTTTACATATACTAATATAATATTTTAGGTGTTTTTAATATTAAACATACAAATTTTATATTCTCTTATACAAAATAATGTAAAATTTATATTCTCTTATACAAAATAATTTTACATTGTTTGACCCCGAATCTTTAGTTTATAATTATTAAGTATCGTTTATCCTCCTCTTTAATTTATAATTATTTTTTTACTTTCTCTTTTTAAATAGGATCAATAGTAGTTTCCACTTCCGCCATTGAGTGACTCAAACTCGAGGTCTCTTTATAATATTATTAATTTAACATTGTTCCTGTGCATTGCACGGGGTACACACTAATCTATATAAAGAGTCAACCTATTTACAAAAAATAGTAACAAGAAAAGTTAACTCGCATTAATTGCATTCTAATTTGGCAATTTTTAATTTTTTTTTTTAAATTATTCTCAAAAAATGATTAGCTATATATGCACCCTAAATTCATGGGTTTTGTGAATTTAATTTAGGTAAAATTCAGCTGATGTTTACACTTTTGTAAAAGTCAAAATTCTTTCTCATTTTTTATGAAAAAAATCGACTACCATAAACTTGAGATTTTTGAATTAGGAAAAGTACTATCACATATATCTCCTACAAAATAATTGTTTATTTTAAAAAAAAAAAAATCGGATTGCATAAAAATCGAGTCAAATTAGGTAAAATTCGGCATGACAATTTTGTAGAAGTCAAAATTTTCTCATTTTTATTAAAAAAATATATATTTACCATAAAATCGGAATTTCGAATTAGGCAAAATACTATAACATGTATCTTTACCTAATTGCAATAGATCATGTTTATTAAAAAATATCTGATCGCATAGAAATCAAGCTCAGTTTCAAATTGAAAATTAAAATTTGAAAACTCTTATCATTTGGCTACTACTTTCTTTAGTTCAGATTTTTTAACATAAAACAGAGTCACATAGTATTAATTTAAAATTCAAAATGAAATCGGTTT